GCGGGTCGCACTAGTGTCGAACGTGGCTCAAAGGACGCCGTGTTGCGCCCGTGCATCCCCTTTATCCCCATCGCAGCCTTCTGTGCAGCTCGGCGCCCGGGAAGTAGCGAGGGTCGTCATCGAGCTGCGCCAGGCGCTTGTCACGGTCGTAGCCCGGACGCGGCAGGGGCTGCAGCGAGGAATCCCTGCTGCCGGAACCATGCCATGAGCTACTTCGCCTCTTCTGCACATTCTGTCTCTCGGCGCTCCCCCTGTGGCCATGACAAAGGTTCAGCCTCTCCTGACACAGGCGCTGCATGCGGTTGGCAGGACTGCCGCGGTCTTGCTTCCTTGGCCGCTGACTTCCGTCCCGAAGCATGCCCCAGCAGAGGAAGGCGACTGGGCGCACACCGGTCCGGGACGAAGGACGTGAGGGCATGAAACTCCACAAATCCGCACAAGTTTTCCGAGGTGGGGAGATGGAGGCCGCGGCGAAATTTCTGAACATAGCCAGATGCCCAGAAGCTGCAATGGCGTGAGTGCAAGACAACTCAGTGGCAGCACGGCCCCGAGGCTCATTGGGATCTCAAAAACAAGGAGCGGGCCATGGTGTGGGACTCAGTTCAAAACGCTTGAGCCACAAAATTGCTGCTTGAACTGAGTCCAGATTGTCTCTCGCTTCTCGAACACTCGCGTCGTATCCATGTTCCTGCTTCAATGGCTTGGATGCACTTCGCGCTACTGTTTTCCAAAAAGCCGCTCATGACGACCGCAGAGAACATGCTCTGGTGAAAACACAGCAGGGGTACCGCAAGGACTCGTTCCCCCGAGGCTTGTAACCCCGCAACCCCAACCCCCACACGCTCGGGCAGCGCCGCCCGATGGAAGCTAGCTCCTGTGCAGGAATCTGCACTTGTCGCCGTAGGAGCACGATCCCCTCTGGTAGTCGCGGCAAACTCCATCTCCTTTTCCTTTGCCCTTACCTTTGCCCTTGCCGTGCATGCTGAAACTGCCCCGGGACTCGTCCGTGAGCATGCCTGGCGACCCTTTCTCTTCCACACCAAGCTGGCATAGGCACCAGCAAATGATGGAGATGCGGCCCTTTCCATCCTGCTCCGGGTCCGGCAAGGCATTGATGCCATGCTGCCAGATGATGTTCCTCAGATGCCTAGTTCTGATCACGCCCAACGAAGGTCTGACTATGACACGATCACACCTGCGCCACAAACTGCCACAGTAGCGTCGCATCGCGCCCAAAGTAAAACAGCATGCCGTTCTTCTGCGGGAAATAGATCCTTAGACACCCTCTCTTTGGGGCAGAGGAGGCAGGGCTGCCAATCAAAACCCGAAACCTGACTGTCACTGACCTTTCGTTGCTTCATCTGCGCATCAGATCGCGACAGCAGAACCCTCACAGGCACAGCCACTCCGCCCGAAAGTTAAGTCTTCCACTGCCCAAAACAAGCCTGGCAAAGAGGGGACAGAAGTAAAAAGACTAGAGAAACTTGGCGGCACCGTATGGCATAAGTTAGCGTAGCAGCTTTTGCACAAGTGTTCGAGTGCGCAGGAATAGCAGTAATCGAGACGACCCGTGACCAAACATGTCCGCCCTTCAACGCCCAGCAACGAACTCGCCTGGTCTCCGCCCCCTTTACAGCTTGCGGGTAACATGTGTGGCAGTGTACCTATGATTCTATGATATACACAGACCAGCATGCTCTCGAATCGATGGACCTGAGTTCTCTGCTGGCACACAGATATGCTTGTATGGTTTCTAAACACCAGCTGAGCATCAGCTCGCCCGTTTTGGCATGCCGGAAGGCCAGCTCCCGGGAAGCTCCAAAGGAGATGCCGACGGTACCTTGCCGGAAGCCAAGCTCCGAGGATGCTCTCTGGTTCAAGATAAATGAAAGTGTCCTACGGCTTTGTGACATACTTCTGGCTTCGTGAATGAGGACGCAGAGGTTGGCTTCACAGTTGCACTTTCGAACGTAGCAACTGCATATGTCTCAATGGGAGACATCCACAGCCCCTCATCCATGGCTCAGCATGACCCCGGAGAAGGATGCTATTCAGCTGCATAACTTGCAGAAACATCGAGCTACGACTGCGTTGTAAGGTGGCGAAGGCAATACAGAGCAGTCATCTGAATAATGGAGTCCCGGGCACAGTTCTGGTTGGCCGCACGTGCTTCGTTGAAGGCAGCCTGACATGCTCGTCTGTCATGCTTCCTGTCTTCCGCATCCTGCGTCGAACCAAGCAGGATGCTAAACCCCGACATCTCTACCGTCTCGAAGATGTGATGCGAAGGCTCGGCTGCAGCTCAGGGACGGAGTCATGGTGGAAAGGCTTCCAGTCAGAACCGTCCCGGTACCAATTGAATCGGGTGCCACGGTTACCCTCCGCCGCCTTGAAGTATTCACCTGGAGCATCTCGGGCGAACTGCTGCGACCACTGCAGCCAGCACGTTGCCATGGAATTCAACCAAGAAGCACATTCGCTGCACCACCTGTCATGATGCTCTTTCGTTATCAACACAGCTGCATTTGCCTATCTCCTCTTGCTAATTACTAATGCAGAGTTCGGACGTGTTTGCGTGTTTTCCAAGAAATGCCGGAGCTCGGCATCGCAGACCGTGCACCACCGGTGCTATGAGAAGGAACACGGGGAGAAGCCCCAACCAGTGCTCGAGAAGCTGCAGAGCCTTGGTGTACGTTGCCGAGCCCGTCGGATTCTGACCTCAACTCTTTGAGACATTTTGAGTGCAGTGCAGTGCTTCGGATCCCTTGCTTTACACGATTTTTGAGCCTCAAGGCGGCAGATGCCAAAAAACTGTACATCGATGCAGGCGTGGCGGCTTAGCAGGTGGGCCCCTTCGTGCCAAGGAATCCACTCCGCCTGCCGGGTCTGCACTGTCCGCTCCCCAAGGACATCCAAGGACGCACGGAGCCGCCTTGCGTTCGCCGTTTGCCTGGCTCGCGCGCATCTCCTGCTCGGATCCGGCTGAATACTCCACCTGAAGCCCTTTGACGCAAGCTGTGCCAGCAAGAAACCACAGGTGCCAAACAGCGGCAGATGCATGTCCTTGATAAGAGTGTAGTAGGTGTCCCAGTCCTCCTCTTTGCAGAAGAACTCGGGAACTACGATTACGTCATCGTGCTTCACCGGAGCTGCATAGCGCCGGGAGGCGGGGACCTCGGCTTCAGGTCAGCTGTGTTTCCTCTTGCTATCTGCCACCGTCTCTACCAGCAGTTTCAAATTCTAGTTGCGATTATCAATGCCAAACGTTCCTACTCCAAGTAGTCGAGGCAGGCCCTACGGAACTCTGCCACACCTTGTGCCTAGCAGCAAGTATGTGAGGAAATGCAGCGAAGTTTTGCCAAGAGGCTGTGATCACACGCATGCTGGGACGGTCCGGCCAGGAGAGTGGGACCGCCTCCTCCCGCACCCCCTGCTTCTCCTCGCGCTGTCTTGCTTGAATGGATGACACAGATCCCTTCAGGTACCGGATGCTGTGCAGAACTCTTGGACTCACATGGACGTCTTGAATCAGGATAATTAGGCGGTCTGGGGCCTGACAGTCGGAAAACACAAAGGATGTCCTGGTCGTGTGAGAACTTGCAGTTGTCGCCATAGCTGCAGCGACCAAACCGGAAGTCTCTGCACGGCCCCTCCTGCGTTGTTGAACGGCAACAAGCATCCGTCGAAACATCCTACCCCATGCAAAGTCTCAGAACGGCCGAACAAAAGCAAAACGCTGCATCCCCGAGTAACCTGGCCTTAGTAGCGGCGGCCACGGTGTCGGCGAGCGCCTCCTCTTCAACCGCCTTGCTGCTTCGTCCGGACACCGTGATGGAGA